GCAGGAACAGGAGTCCAGTCCGCTCACCACCAACCCATGGTTGCAACAGACTTAGCATTCCCCTTTAACAGACTGCATACAAGAGCCGCTGTTCTGTTAGTGAGTTGTTGAGATTTCTTTTCAGAACTTGAAAAACGATCTATGGTGGTACCAGTTTTCACACAGTATATATATTATTGTCTGCTGAACTGCACTATATTTAAACAAAATGCTTTATATAATTTCATTAATTTTAAAGGAGAGTTTCAAAGAACTCATAACTGTCAAGGTGTATATTTACAGGGGGACAAAACATCTATTCTGGCAAGTTGGGCTGGTAATATGTGCCACTATTAGCCTATTACAGATGTATCCATGGCTGGAATGATTTGCCAGTTATTCGGTTAGTTAACTGCCAGTCAATTAATTGCCAACAATTTTAATAACTGATAAATTACCGTATTTTCTGCACTATAAGGCGCACCTAAAAGCCTTAAATTTTCTCAAAAATCGGCCATGCGCCTGATAATCCGGTGCACCTTATGTGTGCACTGAGTTCCAAAATCTGTAAAAATGTTGTTGTGCGACTTTGGTAAGCGCTCCGCTTGATTGACTGTCGGACCATTTCCCGCTGACACAGGGATGTATTACGTACACTACGTACGCTGGCAGCGATAAACCAGTCTAAACCGGTCTAAGGACCCCCGAAAATGGCACCAGCGAAGAGACATGCTTACGAGGCACAATTCAAACTACAGGCTATCAGTTACGCGGTGGTTAATGGGAATAGAGCAGCTGCGAAAGAATTCAAAATCAATGAATCAATGGTTCGGAAGTGGATATGTGGGAGAAGATTGATTAAAAAATAATGTGAGTGTATTGTTAAATAGTAGAATAAAGTTCAACTAAACTCACTGTTTTGCTTCCGTTACATTTTAGCATGCGCCTTATAATACGGTGCGCCTTATGTATGGGTTAAGTACAGAAATAGACCCCGTAATTGAGACTGCGCCTTATAATCTGGTGCGCCTTATGGTGCGGAAAATACGGTACTATTTTTGCTAGACAAAACCATATATAGTGTGACATTCTTTTATTACAATATATTGTCCCATCCCTACTATTTACTGTTTAGAATGTTAACATGGCTCTGCTACTCGGGGATATGTGCAGATGGCTGTTAGAAATAGTTTCAGCATTACATAGTTTGTCCTCAAGAGACTGTCAGCAAGTTTATTTCTGGACTGTATAATGTCACAAATCTTTATTAACTAAATTTAGGACATCTGCCTCAAAAACTGTTCGAGTTCTGCATCTTATACCACATCATCTAAAACTATATTATTTGAACCGGTGTTCACTGTTTATCTTCACATCAGGTGGATAACAACAAAGGATTGCAGACATCTACCACATGTTCTATAACCTCCAATATGTCCATATCTTTTTCTTCTAGGCTGCTCACTACAGATTGAGACAACAGGAGTTTGGCACATGGGGCGTATGAGGATCCAGAACTCGCCTCCTCTTCCTCTGTAGGAGAGGGGATGCTGCAGAATCCTTCAGCAGTGTGAACACCAGAAGGCTGTGCTCTTACTCTATAGCCAAGGCCAGCTGGCAAGGTTTAAAGCACAGCAGTTCTGTTCATTCAAGCCTAAAGAAATTGATGTGTATGAACCACTAACAATACAAGCTTGTTAATAGTGCAGTATCGCTGACTATAAAATTTCTATATTAAGACTAAGAAATGACATTGTTTCTCCTGTTTTAAAATGCTCGAACTCAGTAAAAGAAAGCTCTTTCAGGCCACGTTCCTAAGTTTAAGTTTCTGTGTATGTATGTGTCTACATGTAGGTGTGAGCTTCTGTCTGTTTAGTCTAAAGCTATGATGTCATTACTAAGAGTTTAGAATGGTTATCCTTTCAGGTGAATATTTTTGTAATGGAAATAACAAATTACTTCACTCATTCCCGTAACAACACTGGAAAATACACAAAGACAATGCTCAGGGCATTTCTATATGAAAATAGGATGGTTTTTTAACTGCTGTGTAATAAAATAATAATGGTAAACTTTATTTTCTTTTTAATGAAAAATGTTATGTTCATGATAAAGTGAAATACTTTTTTTTAGAATAAATACGTGGCATTTATAAAGTTTATTCCATAACTGAAGGTGCAAAAGCTGAGCATTAGTTAGTGCCTTACGCCTGTTATACTTATTTGATATGCAAACTATGTACACATTTTATCCAGACTGCCATTTCATGGATACTATATTACTGAATTAAACATTGGTTGCATAATATATTTGCATAACAAATACTTGAGTCAAAAAGCCCGGTGCAGTAAGATGTTAAATTTCTGTATTAGAAAGGTTCCTGCAAACGATAATCGATTAATAGAGAAAATAACTGTCAGATTAATCAATAATAAAAACAATCCTTAGTTGCAGCCCTAAAATATTTACAATATTCACATTGTAATGAAGTAGTTATCTAGAAATATAAGTAGGGTATTTGCAAATGTTGCACTGCAATATTCATTTTAAATGTCTGTGCTTCAAATTATGACTCAAACATTGATGACAACAAGTCAATCTATACCTTTATAGATAACAAAAATGTACAGGAAGGAATATGTAACATTACATTTAATTATTCACATTTTGCCATATATTCAGTACTGTTGGAATATGTTTTTCATATTAACATATTTTAGCAAAAACAATAATTATTCAATGATTACAGGCATTTGGATTTCCTTTTGAAGCTAAATGTCTTTCAGTCAGCCTGTGTAACATGAAGGATTTATAGTGTAAGACAATTATGAGTGGGAGGGCTCTGACACGTTGTACGCGCTGCTGCTTCTTTGCAGTGCGATCTGTCACTGCTCAAGTGTCCTTGTGGGCCTTGTCTGTGTGCGTGTATAATTGTTGGCTCTCTACATAATCTGTCCTCGCTGTGCTGTTTAGACACACTCCTGTCATTGTTCCACAGCATATCTACACCAAACTGTAATTATTTAGCATTCTGCAAATGTTCTCTGAACAAAACCCTGAGTGGAGGATGAACTCACTGCTGTGTGGTTATGTGCATTAACATGTGTGTGTCTGGGTATGCACACTCACCGGTTTTGTGTGTGTGTGTGCTTGGTTCTCAGCAGGTTTCCATGTTGCATGCACATGTGTTAAATGTTTTGAAGTGCCTTGATCCTAAGATGAACTCTGTTAGAGTCACTTGATACACAGCTTTCTTCATTTAGTCTGAGCTCCAGTGAGTGGAGAACACACGCTGCTTCACCAGCCAGACCAGACTGATCCACCACCTGGGCTGACATACAGAGACAAAGACAAAAAGCTGCAATAAAATGCATAATTTGGTATCTAAAAAGGCATTTTTAAAAAAAGAAGAGGTACTCATTATTTTTGATATACAACATTTAACAGTACACTGGATAACTATGTACTTTAAATGAAACTTCTAAAAACTAATGTCATGTTTGTGGATTTCATAATATTGGCAGATATATCTAAATAATTAGAGCCCATTCAGCTACAAAAATCTAACTGTGGTGTGCATGGAATGGGAGATTTTGGATAGAAAAATTATGTTGAAAATCCACAATTACCTCTAAGGATCAAAGTCTGAGTGATATATAATACAGTATTCCACGTAAAATTCAACTAATATTTGCAAAAATTCAGAAAAGCGGTGTTTTGTTTTTTCTACTATAGACAACTGCTGTTTTCAGGGTCAAGAATGAACTTCCTGTCTCAAGAATTTATAAATTGTTTTGAAACAACTAAATGTACGAGTCGTGATGTGCGTGAAAGTCGAACTATGGAATGTGTGGAACATGAATTTAGAAATGACTGAAAACAGATTTTGAGGGGAAGAAAACAGCATCTTACCGTCTGTAAAATCTTTGTTGATCTACTCAGCTGTTGTTGGGAGAAAACAGCAAAGTTGACCAAGAGTTTGAGAATCAATAATGGAGACAGTGGTTGCTGAGGTTGAGGTGACATCAGGGTGAGCAATGACTGCAGGCGGTCAACAGGAAGAGGACCAGCTAAGACCAAGAAAAGGCAATGCAGGTGATTCCATGCTTCTTTTGCATGAACCTGGAAACACAGGTGATATAAATTTAAGCTGACTGGTGTTTATTTATAGACCTACACTCAAATCAAGAGTATTCTGCCTGCAAATAAAAATCAATAGATTAGTAATTCGCAAAATGATGAACACCGACAACCTCATGTAAGTTAAATGTAAAATCATATTGGGAGAGATGGTAGTGACACCGCCAAGTCTCCCAGAGTTATGAGAGCAGTCTGACAAACAAGATACAAAGAGAAGAAACTCAAGCCAGCTGGCCAGACGCTCACTAAGAAATCAATACTACATCACCCTTTTCACCCAGCTCCCCTCCTTCATCTATATCCCTCTCTCTCCCTTCACTGCTGTCTCATTCTCTCCCTCTCAGATACTGGTCATCCATAATTTATTCTTTAATGTGTTACTGTTCTTTCTCTGTATTTGTTCTGTGGCTATCAAATATGATGCACCTGCTGAGAGCAAGAGACCATGCACATTGTTATGATGAGTTACAATACTACAAATTCTATTGATACAGTAGCTGAGGTTAAATCCACTCTTTCTGCAGTCATACTGAATAAACCTCACAACCTGAATACAGTGTTGTTCCTCATCACCTAGCCTCACCTGTTTTCAGCTAAATGCTAACATGCTCAGTGACAATGCTACTATGCTACATGTTTAGCAGGTGTAATGTTTACCATGTTTACCGTCTTCATTGAGCATGTTAGCATGCTAAAATTTTCTAATTAGCACTAACCAATCAACTAGTCTCAAAGTATTCTTGAGGCTAGTTGGAATGTCTGTATATTAAGTAGATGGGCTGTGTTTATATAAAGCTTTTATCCAAATCCTATCACAGTTTGGCATCAATTCATACACACACACTGATGGCAGCAAGCTACCACGCAAGGCAGCTGCCTGATGAACAGGTTTTTCCTTCCAAATTGAAATGTGCTAATTTTCATGGATTTTGAGGTGCTGCATTCAGATATGACCTTTAAAAGAGTGGCTTAGCTATAGATTTTAAGATATTTATCCATTTTATGCCAGTGTGCAAAAAACGGACTGATAAGCAAGTCAATCGCCCCCTAGTGGTTGGTTGATTTATAGGTCATAATCTCCACCCCTCAATGTTAGCAGATGGGACATGAGCCAAACTAAAAAAAAAAACTTTTTTAGGGCAATCTCACCAGTTGTAAAGCTCTATGGTGTAACCTTCTGGTGGGGTGGTGGTAAAAAGTCAACAGCCACAGGAGGGGGCCAAAATCCTCAGGCCCTGATGTCACCAGCAGCTGGGCAGTCACCTGCACCCAGTAGCCACACTGAACCAATAGGAACCAGGCCTCATACACTTTGTGGTGCCCCCTACAGGTTAGAAGGAGAAGCAATGCTCAACATTACAGATTATTACAGTTGTTCAACTTAAATCATGTACATGTACACTGTACACCTGAGCAGATGAAGACTATGAGATGTGGCTGAAAGCTCTGGAAAAATCAAATAAATAGACCTTGTGAAGAATCTTTTAGTCATTAATTCACTACAAACAAAGCATTACAGTGGTACTTCCCAAATTTTAAAACTAACAGTGCACCTATAAACAATAAGGTGACTTGGGTGGCCTAACTTAGTTCCTAAATAGCCTGGTGCTTAACCCATCCCAGCCTCAGTTTTTCCATGGCATGTGTGTGAATATGTATTCTTCAACTTTCCCCTTCTGTCCTGCCTAAATGTACTGTGCAAAATACAACCAATTGTTATCCCATTAATTTACATCCAAGTTGTAGACCATACACTTAAAAAAAACCTGGCCATGGGGGAGGCATTTTAATACATTTAGACAAACTGAGATTACTACCGTTTGTCTGTGGAACATATCTGTGATGTTTTTTTGTTTTTTTTACACCAAACTTTTTCAAAATGATTTGGTTTTCAGTGTGTCACCTGAGCCCTCTGGGGTCATTTACATCCTAGGAGCTTTATTAATGAGCCACAACTCGGTGTGACTGCCAGTAATACTAGTCCCGTCCCCACTGACTGGAATAATTGATAACCAAAGTCAGACAAAGCTTTCACACAGATTGTTTCCTATTGTGCCATCACAATGAGGGGCAGCTGTAATGGGCTTTTTCTACTGGTGACATTTTGTAACATAAAAAACATTCATAAAACAGTAATGAGCATCAGTTCTATATTTTTATAGCACTTAAGTAACATCTCAAACTACACAATCCAGCCCAACATTTTATCCCTAATACCTCCTCTTTATAAACCATGCTCATTGACATTTATAATATTTCACTCTCTATTCACTCAGTATTGCCAGATGTGAAATGCAGTCCTGCTATAAATATTAAAGCAAAAATGCCTAATATTTCCTGGTCCTTTGTCATTCCATATTGCTGTGCTGAAAAAAACTAGGAACTGAAATAAAGTACAAATGTGATATAAACTTAAGCAAAACATTTTTATACATTCTGGATTCCGACTGGTGTGTGGTTATACACACCCAGTATGTGTCATACATTGTGAAGATTTTCTCCTTTTGTTATTCAAAAGTATAAGCATATCTTTGTATTTTAGACTTTTAGTCAGAAAAATCAAGTCATTGGAAGAGGTCACTTTGGCCTCTGGGAAACTGTGATGGGCATTTTCCACTATTCTGTTGACAATTTATAGAGAAGTCACTTATTACCAAACTACTCAGTAATGAAAATAATAGTTACACCTCTGAAAGAATCAAGGGAGGCAGAGAGAGAAGAGAATGTGAGTGTCATGGATTGCTTTAAAATGTTACAGTTCCTCCCCATCATTACAGTCTGCAGTTTACTGTCAAATCAAGGGAAAAATGCCATAGCCAAATGTACAAAAAGTGCTCAAGATGGACTAAGATTTAGCCAAAAGGAACACTGCTACACAACAAAACAGAGTCACACAGCTGCAACAGCAAGCGATAAGGATCTCTCGCTTTCGGATTTCCCTAATATCACTATTAGAGCTCTCTTCCTCATCTCCCCTCTTTCCCCTTGGCCTCCAAATAAAACAAGCAGGACCGCTTTGCAGGGCCATGGCAGCTGCATCTTTGCTCAGAGCAACACAACAATACTAACTTTCCCACTGCTGGCTCAGAACGGTGTTTTGGGAATTTTGCAAGGAGCTCCAGAATGGAGCACTGGTGCAGATAATGGGCCCCATTAAAGACCACAGCTGGAGAGTATCAAATCTTCATCTCTCACATCGGTTGCCTTCTGCTTTTTCTCTGCATCCTCTATTTTCAGCCCCTCTTCCACCGCCTGGTACCAGCTCAACTCGACTCGCCTTATTTGTGTTTCCACCAATCAATTGTTGGGGATAGTACCTGGTACTGTTTTTTGTATCACCAACGTTGAGGTTCCAAGTGAGCAGAGGCGATACCAAAAGGTGAAGTGTAAACACTGCAGACTAGCGATTGGTCAGAGAAATCACGTCATCAACATGTGAGACGTCCTGGAACAAAGAAAGCGGCATTTTTAAATGCAACGTTATCCAACGTTCACCGCTACTTTACTGTAGTTACTGTACTAACTAAAAACATCCACATACCGAGACTCAAGAACAGCAAACCCTCCATTGTCCGTCATTGTTACTGTGTTGTTTGCTGACGATATCACAGTAGTGTAATACGGTGTCGCTATGACAACCAGCTACACTGTGAGGGGACCATCTGCAGAGGCAAAGCAAGCACCTGGTACCAAAGGCAAGTAGAGTCAAGTTAAGCCGGTACCAGGCGATGGAAAGGGGACTTTTTTCACCTAAATCTGTCTAACTAAGGCTACTCACTCTTTGCTTTTCTCTGTTTCATGCTAAAATGATACTTATGTCTTCTGCCCACTTTCTCCCTGCTTCTCTGGTTCTACATCTGTATTTCTTTTCTCTTATTATTCAGCTTTCCAACACTTGTTTTCTCCAAAGATCTCTCGTTCCCAAGCTAATAGCTTCTAATGAGCACTTGGAGGACCTCTTTGCTGTGATACAAGGGGAAAATATCTGACTAACCACCCCCTCAACAGCAGCTAATGGAACTAAGACCACACAGGCATTCAGTAGGGTGGTGGAAGCAGCAAGCTTTAACACATTCCCTCTGCGAGACTTTCTCGCTCTAACCTGGTGCTGCCGCCACTGTCTCTGTCTCCCTCTTCTTCCTCCTCTGTCAGTCTCTGTACTGAGCTACTGATCCAGTTCAGGTGATGTCTCCAAGCCTCCTGAGGCATCTCTGCAAGAACAGATTCAGACATACACACTCAGTTAAAACTTGTAACGCAGGTATACTGTTTTTACCATCAATGAGTACTTGTACTTACAAAATTCAAAGATGGCAAAATGGAAATAATACTAAGTCACCTTCTGTCCAAGAGTGTGATAAGAAAATTGATACCACTGTCGTGTCTGTACAGTAAATATGTAACTACAGTCAGCAGCTGGTTAGCTTAGCTGAGCACGAGGACTGAAAACACAAAAGAACAGACTTGCCTGTACATTGTATACAAGAGTTAGATGATAAGAAAGAAAGGCAAGCAAAGGCCAATAAGAATTATTTGCCTATTCTTATATCAAGATGGAGATACACTGCTGTCCAGAGGGCAACACAAGCCATTTTTACATGTGAAATATCTTAAAAAAGGCAAATTTCCAAATACTAGCTACAAGTATTTCCAAGTAGAACTGGATCAAATACTCTTACTGCTTGTAACAGCTTTTTCCTGGTCTACATCTATTATTTTTAACAGCTTATAGGCCAGCGTGGTGTTTGTCACATACCATATTGTACTGTGAAAAATAACTTCCCTACCACAAACCAAATTCTGCAATAAAACTCCACCTAAATGTCAAACAAACTAACACACATTTCCAAAGCTCCATATCTTGAGCCATGTCTTCCTCCCAGGCTATGTTTAACAATGCAATGTTAAGTTGTAATTTATAGCTTTTCCAGAGGGAGCACAAACCATGATGAAACCCAAAATCTTCTACTTTTCACAGTACCATTCAGTACTCTGTGAGAAATTACAATTCACTACACACACAGTAATAATTAACTCATAGTCCTGGCTGGGCTCCAGTGAGTTCCTAAATGGCTCTGTTCCTGTAACTCATTCCTGCCTACAGGCCAGTCTGGGCACACACTGATAAGCACTGCTCTGCTGGGCCCCTGCACTTACCTACTGTGCATCCCTTCAATAGTAAAGGTTACCATACATAAACACCTGGTAATACATATTCATTACAGATAATACAGATTGTTCTTGAAGAGAAGAATAACAAAGTGTATTCTGATCAATGATTTCAGTTAACTGTCAACTGTATAGATTTCACATAAGCAACACCACTTTGCTCACTGAAAGCCAGCCAAAAGAAGATCACCCAAAATGCACGGAGTAATTCGCACCCTGGTTCCACATCATGTCAACGTTTATATTTGACAAACAGTAAAATATTTAACACAGTTGTTAACTATCACTGATTAGAACAAGACACGCAAAAGTCGATGCAGTCTGTGGCTGGAAAACTGTTTACACAGAGTTAAACAATACCTCAATACTCTCTTACTCACAATACAGGGTTTTGTGCATTGTGTTAAAGTGAAACATCCAAAAGCAGGCATACGCACACAGCACGTGTCTGCACACTGACCTGATGGCAGGGTCAACAGGGGAACCAACAGACTCTGAGGCGACTGTGGGAAGAATGCCTTCAAAGAAACATGCTCCTGTAACAACAAAGCACAATGTTGTCTGAGCTTCATAAAGTTAAATCATACTTACCTTAAACTCATACATCACTGTGCTCTGAAAGCCTGAAAAATGACAGTTTTAATGGAAGGCTGTGTAAGAGTGATATAGTAGGTGCTAATGGGTAATGTATCGTGTAATGGGCAGAGTTTAGTGCAGTGTGACTAAAGGCATTAAAAACTGAATCTGCTGTAAATACACTATAGCACTGCCATCTACTGGTTAATAGAGGTGAAATGCAGCTAAACTACATTCATAAAACTGTTCTGCAGGTAATTCATCACACCTATGTACAAACACATCTGTTTTCTGGTTTTGCCAGTAATGGCAGACATGTGAATCCCAGTACAGGCATGCAGGATGTGTTGATGGAGGTCCCCTATACCAAAACAGACACATATCATATATCTAAGAGAGGTTGTGTGGGCTGAAAGATTTAGAAAAAGCTTAAAAGTACATGATGGCACATCCGTTTACCAGTTCACAGTAGTTTACTGCTGATGATTTCTCCATACAAAATTATTACCTGCAAGTTGATAATTTAAAAACAATTTTCATTTATTGTCTATGAGGCTGAGATGCAAACTGTGGTGTGTGTAGTGTGAGCAGTGAGCCCCTGGCTGAAGATCAAGTGATAATGATGTGGAGGACTCATCTAATGTTAAGTCATCTTGCCTGCAGAGGAGAGGTAACTGGTTCATCACCCCATCTGTAAGTCTAAGTTTTTAATAAATGTAATCCTTAGTTGCCAAGGCCTACCTGAGGCTGCAGCAGTGCCAGCTCCCTGAGGAAACAGCTTGTAAAGGTTTGGATAAGAAACTTAATAGACTTATTTCCTTCAGCTTGCTTAAGGATGGACCTGCCAGAGACACACAAGGACATGAATACATCGTGTACTCCATCATAACACATCAGCAGAATCACAGCAGCCTTAAAACAACACACTGAAACTCACCTGAAGATGTCACTTGTAACCAAAAATATAGAGCAGTGCTGAGCACAGGCTTTAGGCTGGAACACACAGAAACACAAGCCTTCACACCACTCAGAATGTACAGAAACTACAGATCATAACATCAGACAAATCTGCTTCCAAATAGATTCACTAAAGAGTACAGAAATGTTTACCCAAAATGCTGACCACTGGGTGTCCCTGTTAGATTGTCTACAAACCTCCCTGTTCTAGTGCCTCCCTTTGTTCATTCTCACTCTCTCCCCATTAACTACTCAGTTCACCCCTCTGTCAGTGCCTCCTTCATCTACCTCCTGTATGTGTAATACAGGAGTAGAAAGATTAAAAGGAGGACCAGAATGGGACAGAGCAAGCTTTTCTATTTATTTAATTCACTGACAGCTAGTTTAAAAGTGAACTTACTGCTCAATTTTTGTATTAGACTGGCCTAGATTTAGTTAGGTGTACCTAATAAACTGCCAACTGTATATTTATATTTCCCTCCAGCCCAGGCACACCTATCACCCCACCTAACAGTTATATGGTGTCATGACATTGTACTAAAACACGATGCATCCTAAGTTTTGTCATGTTGTTCTTCTTCTCCAGGCCAGAACATGGCATTAATAAAACTCAACAGGCTTTACTGGCAGCTGTTTGTGTGGGCATTAGCAATATGTTGGCATATGGTTCATCTGTGTATGTGGGTTGCATGCCAGCATGCATGCATTTGCGAACTGTCATGGTTGCCTCCTAGTGAAAACAGATTTTTTTTGTTAGCGTCCTCCTCCATACCTTACTGCTAACATTTCAAGAGGGTCAATTACAGCATGCAGCAAACATCCTGTTTTTGGCAGTCAGGCCCAGGAAATGAGCATTTATTGTTATTGGGCCTGTGTCTTTCACTGGATCACAGGGGGGTGGGACAAGCCAAAGCGAGGAATGTGAGTCTAATTTCATGATTCCCATTTTTGATTGCAGTTTAAACAAGTGTGTGAGAGGCAGGAAGCGAGGGGCAAGACAGGCCAGTCTGCTCAGGCGCCTCTTTCTTTTTGTTTTGTTTTGTTTGTTGTTGTTTCTCTTGCACACATGTATGGCAAATATACTATTCCAACAACCCAAAGGCTAAGTGAAAGCTAAACGTATGCATCCCATCCTCCTACTGACAGCCTAGCTTCAGTGCCAAATGTAATTTCATGAACATAAGCATGTGTGAGTGAGTTGGCATGCATGCATGTGCCAGTGAACTAGCAAAGTGATAACACAAGTCAGTCAGAGTAGGATAAAAAGAAACAAAAAGATTCATGATGGGACAGAAATAAACTGTCAACTGTTGCCTCTCTGTCCCTATCTCTGTCTTTCACACACACATGCATGTGTTCTCATCTATCTTAATTTTTAAGAACTGTTCCTAAACTGAAAAACTGTATACTGCTAGCCTGTTGTGTACACAACTCAAGTGGACCATCACTCGGGGAAATCAGGAGTGACACAACTGACAAACTTGACCCAAGTTAAGATTAAACAAAATGGCAGATATGTTATTGTTACAAAATTGAGTTTGTCTTACATTTATAGCTACAAAAGGGAATGTAATCATTAACTTAGGTAAACAGGACACCATTCATAGCTACACACACGGTGCTTGATTGCTGGCCAGAGACATCTGACACAACCAATCTGTAGAAAAGATGTCTACAAACATTGATCGATTCCCTCCACTCCATTTTTGTGTCATACCTACTGAGTGAGTTAGAAACTGGTTTAGGTTTTGGGTAGATGTTCAGTTTTCCTGAATTTTATAATTTTGGTGAAACAGTAATTTCTAATTGTTTTTCACAGCATATGCACTTATTTGTCCAACATGTTCCAAGTTGCTGTGGGAGAGATACCAGATCCTGCTGGCCAAGCAAAATAACAAAAGCCACAGCTTATATTTTCTGACTGCAATGTAGTAATGAAGACTTTATCTTCAATAACTAGACATACCAATTTGTAAATAAAAATTTTTTTACTTGGGCATGGTCTTAAATTATATGAAGTGAGGAGTGGCCAAGAACTCAAGTGACACAGTCAGAACTTCCCCAGTACAGTAAAGGCTACGCAGCACAAGCCAAATGATGTGAGATGTGGTTTAGAGCTAGCCAAATGATGTGAGACGCATGTAAAGTAAAGCCAAATGGTGCGTGCAAGCTGGGCAAAAACAGTCATTAAGACCAAAAAAGCACTGAAATACTTCCATATAAAAACAGTTCAACTCCGTGCTTCATAATAAAATAAAATAAAGCAGGCTTTATTTTCAAAATGTTTGGTCTCTCAGTTGACAAAGCAGTTCAAAGTGAAGCTAAACACATATGGAGTGTGCAGTGATTTCTGATGTGACACTCTATAATTCAGGGCAGATGAGTCAAACTGTGTATGAAACAAAGCCATTTAACGGCAGCAATATGTCATAAATGTATCAGCAGTCTTAAATGCTGCCAATACATTGCAGAAACTACCACAGCTCCGTGGCACAACATTCTACACAATACAAAATACAAGCTGCAGACAGAATAGTGGTTATAGGTAAAATGTATCACAGCCATGACAGCAGTGCATGACTTTATCTTGTTTAATTAAAATTTTCATAAAAAATTTAAAAAAAATTACCCACCAGCAGCGACTTTGCTACATGCTGCTTTATCTCCAACGGTGTTGACCCCGTGTTGGTAAGAAGAGACTCTAGAAGACTTAGTACTGCCCCTTCCAGGCTGGACAGGCTGTGATACCACAGAGACACCACTGCCTGCTCCTCCAGTGATGCTCCTTGGCTGAGAAAAAAGCAGCACTGATTAATTTATAACATATTATTTTATATCTTATACCATCATATACCATACCATGGACACTACTTTTTTGTTCCACTATGGCAACATTTTATACATACAGTGAGGAACAGAAGTATTTGAACACCCTGCGATTTTGCAAGTTCTCCCACTTAGAAATCATGGAGGGGTCTGACATTCACATTGTAGGTGCATTCCCACTCTGAGAGACAGAATTAAAAAAAAA